GTAAATGAGTTTCATATGTTTCATATTAACTATTTTTATATAGGAGTAGTACTATATATCACTTAAAATAAATGGGATATTATAAAGCTGTTGATTATGATCACATTACAAATGACTAAATTTTGATCACTGTAACCTTTGGTAATACCAATGTTCACTTTTTCTGGTTTTGTTGCAGCATGCCCCATATTAAGTGCGACAATATGATGTTTGTCGGTTTTATCCATTTTTAGATTAATCACGTGAAGGATTTGGGAGAAATATCAAAAAAAAAAAAGTCTTAAAGTTCTGTCTAATTAAAAAAAAAAGGTATTATTGTATAAATATATCAATAATAAGAATAAACTCTAACAATACGCCACCAACAAGTGTAAAGCTTGCTTTACGGTTTATTTTAATTTTAAAACAAGCTCACTATTTGTATTTTCTTTTATTTATTTAATATTTAAGAGATATGTCAAGAAGAAGATCTCCAAGATTAAACCAGGACGAAACACCAATTAAAATAGAGGAAGAAAGTAACGAACAATTTAGCGATACTTTGTGTCGTAAAGAACAAAAACCTAAAAATGAAATTAAAAAAAGGCAGCAACAACAAAAGCATCCCAAACAACTGTATGACCAAAAACATAATCAAAAACAACAGCAGCAATCCTCCCCACCAACACCACCTTCTTCTGATCCAAGTCATAATTGTGATAACGACGATTATTTAAAACATGAAGATATTCCTCGATCATGTAAATTTTTACCTATTTATCCTGTTGATACCATTAATCATTCTTCTAGCTAAATAACACATAAAATTTTTAATAAAGGGCCGTATGATCAAAATGGAAATAGTTCTTACAACGGTTCAAGACGTGCATCTATTGAGTCAACAACTACCTTAGCATCAATTATATCAGAATCGTCAGTATTTAGATCATCCAACAATTCACAAATTAATCCTTCCAGTAATACCAGTTCACTTACCTCAAATACTTCTATAAATTGTTTTAACCATTACAACAAAAATAACAACGATAATAATAATAATCATAATATATTTAATGAATGTATTAAACCTACTTTAGATAATCATGATGATAACAATGCAGGTTCTTCTCTTAGTAGAATGGCTAATGACGAGAAAAGCATGCAAAGTCAATATAATTTAAGACCCAGGTTTAACATTGAAAAAAATAATAACCAGAAGAAAAGAATCGAGAAACCAATTAATAAAACTAAACATAAAAGCGATGCTAAAGCTAGAGGAAAAGAAGACATTGATAATAACGGCAGCAAAGACAACAACAGTAATAATATAGATCATAATAATATAGATCACAATGATATAAATCGCCATGATACAGATCACCATGATATAGATCGCAACGATATAGATCGCAATGTCGTTATGGATCGCAATGATGACGCTATGGATCAAGTCATTGATAATGATGATGATAATACACGTCAAGAATTAGACAATGATAAAAATAAGATTGTGTATGTAATACGTTTATATTACTTATAAGAATTTTTTAAACTATGAATATACCTTTAATACTATTAGTAATATATTAATATTATTATTTATTTAGGATATTGGCTAAAGCGATTTTCGGGTTATTAAACGCTAAATGGGTTGTGGGTACAGCAGTTATGACGTTTATATTGTTTCTAGGTTTCTTTTGCATTTGTCGATTGTCATATATAAGTGATCGATGTCAATATTGGATAGTTAAAGACAGTGATCTCAATTCGGAATATACAAATTATGTAGATGCTGGTAGCGATATTAAATATGAACATAGCGATGTAATAATTCGAGCTGCAGTTGCGGAACAAGTTAGAAGCTTGTGTGCGGCAGAAATCCAAAAACGTATTCAACCTGAAAACAATGAAATGGCTAGATATCAAAAATATATTCTCGATGATGTAGTTGCCGAAATTATTAAAAACGAGATTCACAAAGCGGTAGAAGAAAAATTGTATATTTATTCACAGGATAGGTTAAATAAGGCAGATTATGCACTTTCCTCAGGTGGTGCAAAGATCATTAGTCCGTTAACATCTCCAACGTATGAAATGTGGCCTACGCAATGGCATCAACGAATTATGGCAGCAATAACTGGTCATGGAATCACGAGAGGCAAGCCACCAATAACGGCTCTTCAACCTGAGACTCATGTTGGCCAGTGTTGGCCTTTTGCTGGACCGAAAGGTCAATTAGCGGTATTGTTGAGTAGAAGAATCTATGTTACAGCTATAACTTATGATCATGTGAGTAAAGATATAGCAATGGGTGTCACAAGTGCACCAAAAGAATTTGAAGTATGGGGATTTGTTGATGATGTTCCAGAAGTGATTATCGATAATTCATATCCAAAACAAGGACATGAACCATTATTATTGAAACAAACAGATGATGTCATTCAAGAAGAAAAACAAGAAAGTATTTTTGGCGATCATTCCGCCATTCCAAGTGATCTAAACGATACAAATGACACAAGCAATCCAAATGACGCAGCAAATAATCCAAGTGAATCAAGTTCAGATGAAAAAAATGGCGACGAAAGAGATTTAAAGCTTGGCTCGTCACCAAATCATTTATTTTTGGGGAAATTTACTTATGATATAAACGGATCCACCATACAAACCTTTGAAGCGCTTAGATACAGTAAACCGATAATAGCTGTTTTAATGAAGGTAAATAGCAATTGGGATAATCCACAATATACTTGTCTTTATAGATTTCGTGTTCATGGAATACGATCGAATTATCAATCTTGATTTATATATATAATACACACACATACATACATACATATATGTACATATTTAGGTGATTATATAATTTATTTATAATTTATTTATTTTGTAAATATATTTATTTTTTTTTCATAAATTATTATTTAAAAATTGTATATTTTTTTTTAATAAATTTGTTAATTCCATTTTTTTTTCACTTAAAAAATATATTCCAATATATATTTTTTAGATTTTAGAAAAAGTTTTATTTTTATTTTGTAAGGACAATTAATATAAATAAATATATAATTTGTAAAAAAAAATTTATTTAATAACTTCCTGTTCTATGATATCTACTCTACCTTATCATTGTATTATTAATTAATTATCTCTTGCAGTCGAGTTGAAATGAAAATTTAATTTCTCCAAAAATAACGGTTCTTCTTGACTGAGAACTGCAAAACAAAATGTAGATATTAAAAAAAATATAAATTGCATATATTTTGTGTTTAGCGATCTTTCTCGCCTATGTGGTGATTGGTGGTAGTGTGAACTGCACGATAGGCACAAACATTGAATTTATGTTGTACCTGTCATCACTCATTTCTTCTTTTTTGATGAGATGCCCATGATGTAGTAAGCTTTTTTTCTATCATAAGTACCGACACATTCACATGCAGATTAGTCATATCTCCCAAGGTCGTTCATGCTTTGCTTGCATTGCTCCATATACTGCTTGCTTTATTAATATCGGGACTTTACAAAAAGGCAAAGTCGGATAAGAATAACTTCACAGAAAGTCTAATCGGGTGAAAATCAAGATCAAAAGACTTGAACAATATCCTCGTCGAGCTATACTGTTCTTTTTTTTTATTATATATATTACTACATTGTCACGTACCCCATTAAGCTATAATGTTTTTCAGATAATTGCGCGCTTTACCCGCTTACTTTATGCTTGAATACAATTCTACCACTTTTAAATAACTAAGCTACTATCTAATTAATTAGACCAAAAGGCTGTCTTTTTACTTTCCCTAGGCATGAATACGAAGGACTTTAACTGACACTCGCGTTGATCACGTGAGACTACCAATATGTATGCGCAGTTACTATCATCTTGTAAATTTTTAAAAAGATGATAATTAAGAAATTGGTTTTATCAAGAATGAAGATTCAAGCAATGAACGATTAAAAGATTTGGTAATTATCAATTGATTATTCAGAGATATAAATCCGAATTTTAAAATTTTTTATAGAAATCCAATTCGGATGATTTTTGAATTAGAGCAAATTGTAAAGCAAAATCTCTAATTTCTGTCAACGTAAATTGAGCTGTTTTCTAAACTTGATTTTTCAAATCAAATTGAGGTGACTAACAATCTTATTTAAATTGACTTATCAAAGTGGAGCAGCTCATAGGGTCCAACTAACGATGAAAACACCAAACACCAACGATATACAAATCAAATGCTCGTTGAATAAAGTCTTGTAACAAGCATTGTTTGTTTCAATCCCATTTTTGAAATTAATTGACGATTGTTTTTGGTAAAAAAAAACTACTGTGATAAAATTTATATATAGTAATAAGAATACATATATATGAAAGAAAAAAAGGTGAATAAGATGGTATGAAAAAAGCCACCCATCCTTTATAAATGGGTTGTATGGCTATTCGGCCAAGAAAAGTTTTCTGAACTGCATGAAGCTTTTCGAGCTCTTTCCAAAACAGAACAAGGCACATGCTTGATGGCGTAGCGTACCTCAGTGGATAGTGGAGCAATGAGGATGAGCAGATTCCTCAAAAAGAAAATTAGTGCAATAAGAAAGATCATAATATTTCTGCTAACAAACATGCTATGAATTGGTCATGAAATCATCAAAAAGTTCATGGTAATTACTAAAAAAATGTCACAATGAAAAGCAAAATTGGGAATTGACAAAAAGGTTACTGAGACTATGAAAATTTTTCTCTTTGAATTATGCAGAAGTTCATGGATTATCAAGTCCTTGAAAGAAATGTAAATAGAACAATCTATTCATTTATATTTTTACCAAACAATTGCTTAGTATTTACAAAGTAATATGTGCATTGCTAGCTTTTTTTTTTTTAATTATTAAATTTACATATACTTCTTATTCTTATAATTGATTAAGTAATTAAATAACAAAATAATAATATTTTACCTTAATAAATTAAGAAGGAAAAAAATAAATTATGAAATAATAATGAGAAAGTTATCATAATTCAAAAAAACATTTATTTACTTTTTCTTTCTATATAATTTTTCCGAATAATAATAATAATAATTAATGATATTGACGACAGATAATATATATTATTAGGTTGATTTAATTAATTAATTTGCTTGCTTGTTTGTTTGTTTGTTTACTCTTCATCATTCATATGATCAAAAAGATAATTTGCTGCCATTTCTTCATTTTTGTCACAAGCAAGATACGCTTCAATTGCAAGTGCTCTATCAAATCCTAAAGCTTCCAACTACCAAAAAAATATATTTATCATTATTAATATTAATAAAAAAAAACAATAAGGTTGAAAATTGAAAATTGAAATTATTGTTGAAATTATTATTTAATTCATTTACCCTGTCAATTGCTTCTTTTTCTTCCTGTGTCACAGAAACATATTGTGGTGGTGGAAGATTGCCCTCACCACCTTCATCCGGTTCTTGTAAAAGTCTCATAAATGTAGCTTGATTCGAATTTATAAGCTAAACCAAACAATAATTTATTATTATCATTGTTAAGAAAGTAGCGTTAATATATTATAAATATGATGATGATATACCTGCAATAATTCAGGATTTTGAGCACCAATCTGTTGGAGTAATGGTTGCAATAAACTTGGATTTTGTTGAACAAATTGTCTTAAATTTCGAAAATGTGGTTGATTTCTCAAAAAATTCAAATCATCCATATTCCCTCCTCCTTGTCCACCACCACCGCCGCCACCTTGGGTTGCTCTTTGTCTTTGTTGTTGTAAATTTTGTGCTTGTTGAAAAAGATTTAAATGTTGTGTACCTAATAGATTATATTATATAATTACATTATTAAAATTAATTTTTTATTATTTACTTGTTTCTATGTTATAAAAACTTACTTAAATTAGGAGCACTATTGGTACTAGTAGGGTTTGTAACACCTGGTGCTGGCGTAGCAGAAGTAGTATTTCCGCTTGGGGTATTGGTTGTTGTTGTTGTTGTTGTTGGACTATTGTTGTAGTTGGTTTATGTGCTGATAAATCTGACATATGCGATGTTTGTGACGATAGAGTAGATTGTGATAAGATTTGATCACCACCCATTAAAGCTGCTATTCTAGAAGAGGAAATTATTTTTTTTGATATTGCATTCTCTTCTTCCATAGCAAGTTGAGTAGTATTTTCAATAATTACTGGTTCTTTTGGTTTGTAACCATGTTTCGATAAAATTCTTTCTTGTTCTTCAGGTTTCAATGGTTCACCAAATTGATTTTTTTTAAATTCCAGTATTGTGGCAGTTCCATCATATGAACAAGCAAAAAGAAATCTTCCATCAGGTGACCACGATAAATCTAAGATACAATGTGTGAATAATTGTTTAAAGACTAATAATGGGTGAGAAGAAGATGTTGCCCAAATGGATACACCATGATCTTGACTTCCAATTGCACAAACACCACCAACAATGGTTCCACGATCTTGATCTCGAATATGATAAAGAATTGGACTAAAACACTTTTTTAAAAAATAAAAATTTTTATCAAATTATAATTTCCCCCTTGAAATTTTAGTTAATATATTACTATTTACTATATATTCATACATATACAATGATACTTACAACAACTTCTGTTGGAGATTCGTGGCCAATCATTGAAACATCGATTTTCCATTCATCTCTACGGAGAGCTATTGCAACAGGCACAGACCCCTGACAAGCATTAGGAATTGCTAGATGAGAACCTTCTGGTGACCAACTAAATAACGAATCCATTAATATTAAATTAGAAATTTTATGATAAAGTATTTTTAACAATAGATAAATAAATGAAATGAAATGAAAATTAGTGCCTTAATCTGCTAAAGAAAGTTGTTATGGGAGAATTTAAAAATGGTTCATTTATTTCTGTCTGAACTTTCCAATCACTAGTTCGCCAAATCTTAACTGATTTGTCATCAGCCTAGTAATAATATTAATAATTAATAATGATTGACATGTGTATAATAAATTTAATTATCAAATACCTGTGTAGCCAAGTATTCACCGATAGGATCCCATGAAACACCTTTTACAAAAGCACTATGACCTTCCAGTTTATGTAGTCTCTCTTTTCAAATGATAAAAGTTTATGAATATAAAATTTTTTCTTTAAAAATATTTATTTTATAGATTGCTATTCACCAGAAGTTTGACAATTCCATATATAAACTGTACTATCAAATCCACAGGAAGCCAAATATGTATTATCAGGTGACCAAGATAAATCTGCTACATCTTCATTTCCCCAAAAAAAAAATCATAAATTTTTTGAACTGTTACAAGTAAAGATAAATATTATTCAAAGGATAGATTTTCTTTACCTGATTCATGACCAGCTAAACGTCTAATTGGTTTCCAAACTTCGATATTTTGTTCACCGCTTCCAAAAGTACTACCGCCTCCCCAACTAACTGCAGCTCTTCTCTATAACATTTTTTTTTGATTACCAAGTAAATTATATTTGTTTAATAAAATAATAAAATATATTTTT